CTGACACATAGTAATATTATAGTTACTTAAATACTATACCTGAAAAAAAATCTCTCATCAAGTGTGTTCACTCAAAGACTGTGTCTACTCACAAATTAGTCACTAAGGGGCCGTTTGGTTTGCAAAACAGGCTGCTGAAAGCCTGACAAAAACACTGTTTTTGTCAGGCTTTCAGCAGCCTGTTTTAAGCCTGACAAAAACACTGTTTTTGTCAGGCTTTCAGCAGCCTGTTTTGCAAACCAAACGGGGCCTAAACGATCTCCCCTCAACATATAGTACACTGTGATGACTTCTCGGGATCACATTGTTTTGACTTCCTCTAAGATGCATCTAAGAAAACGATCAACCTGTTTGAGAGAACAGTGCCTCTTCACGGGATAGCGTAGGCATCATTATTGTTGAAAAAAATTTTTAATGTAGTGTGCGCGCGCGTGCCCGTGTCTTTTGTTTTAAATAGTTTGTATGTCTTTTGTTTAAATAGTACGCATACCTTGTTAATCCCATCATTCATTTTTCGCAGTTGAGTTTGATATGTTGCGTAATTGGTGCCATAAGATTGCCACGAAATAGGAAGAGTGTGCTATTTGACTTGCTAAAATAAGAAGGAGCTCCTTAAAGCAAGCACACAGCACGTCATTTTCACTGTTATCTTCTGTTCATTGCTCTTTGCGCTCTTTGTATAAGTTTCTACTATTAAAATCGACTACTTATTATTCAAGAATTTAAAAATAAGCCTCGTTTTGCATGCTTGAGAAAAATAAGATCTGCATTTAATCATCTAATCCAATAAACGGATTCAATTACTAAATAAAAACACCAGCCAAGAGAGGCAAATTGCTGTCTAGGATGGTCATCCAAATTAAAGTCTACGTATACGTAACATAACCCTATGTTTCCCCTCATAAATAAATTACTTCATGTTATTGCTCCCTCCTCACAGACTGTCTTCAGTCTCCTTCCCTCAAATTTCATTGAAACGCCCCTCGTGTTTGCAGGGTCAACCACCAATTTCTCATGACAAACTCAGCATGGATAAATAACTCACTGTGTCGGACTCTTTTATGACGTGAAAGATGGATGAGAAAGTTAGGAACAAAAAGGGTAGTGTTAAATATTCCTTTGAAGCAGTTGGCTGAACCCTGCGTGCGTCGAGTATTGCTAACCACATTAGAACTTCATAGATTGCCTATAAATAGATGCTCGCAACCGCCTAAAACTAAGTATAATGGTTTTAAATCTTTGATGATTTGAAGGGAAACAATTGTTCTTACATATACTCTGCACGTAATATGAAGAACATCTTTGGAAAAGGCTATTCTCTACATCCTAGATGAGAATGGTACACTTCCATAGTTATACCCATGATGAAAAAGGATGGGCTTCCGTGTTCTCCATATTTGTCACAGTCCCTAGATCACGTATCTTACTTACTCCATAGATTGTTAAAAATTGGCAATGTTGATATAGATATGTTCCTTCACTGTTTTTGGTTCATAAACTCCTCAAATGAGAAGAATGATAAAGAAATAAGGGTTAATTGGGAGTAAACACCCTCCCGATCGCTGTTTTGAACTTACTGTTGGATCTAATATTTGAGATCTAAAACTTATGATTAATTCAAAGAGATTAACAAGAATCAAAAGATGCGGAAGCATATACCTGAATCCATTGAGGACAACTTGATTAGGGTTTTGATGATCTTCTAACCTTAGGGGTTCTCCCTTATGGATCTCTTTAGATGGGGATAAGAGAATGAGAGTGGCTAACCCTAGATTAGGTTGAGAGTGACTAACCTTAGGGTTGTGTCCGACCCGCGCCGACGCGGGTCGGTTGAGTCCGACCCGTGCCGACGCAGGTTGGATTCTTCTGACCAGCGCTTGCGCGGGTCGGATCATTCCGACCCGCGCGGGCGCGGGTCAGTTTGGTCCGTCCCGCGCGGCGCGCTAGGATTTCTGGCTTCGCTGATTTCTTGTGTTTTCCGGCTCTTCCGGGACTTGTATTTTCCACCGTTTTGCGTATTTGATCATCTTGTTGATTCGTACGCTCCGCGCGATTTGACCGACGTGCACGAGTTGATTGTTGGGCGCGCGTTTGATTGATGCGCGCGAGCTGATTGTCGCGTGCGAGAGGATTGACTTGACGCACGTGAGCTGATTGACGCGCTAGAGCTGAATGATGCGCGCGTGCTAATTGACTGTTGGGCGTGTTTGGACGCTTTGAGTTGATTGACGCGTGTGGGCCACTTGGCGTTTGCCGTTGTGGTGGTTCGTTGTCGTGTCATTAACGGTTCGCCGATTTGCTTTATGCGCTTGTCGGCGTCGGATAATCCTCTTCGATTCGGATAATGACGTTCATCGTCTTCTCTTTGTCTTGAGCTGTATTCGGGGACCCATAGGTAATTTTTTGACGCCTACAGATACCCCCTCCAAAGAATTTCAGACTCGTTCTTTTATAGGGGAGTCTGGAATGCTTTGGATAAGATAGGTCTTTTCCTCAATCTCGTAGAGAGACATGTGAACTGCTTGACTCCTTCAGCCTTCAATCTATTCGGTGTTTTGTCGAATAAATAAAGTTCTTCCGGCGCTGCGTTTATCATATGACCGTTGTCGAAATCTTGAATCGAAATTGGTGAGTTAGTTTTGGCTCATGTCATTGAGTAGACTTTGAACTGATTATCTTCGTTGCAACGCGTTGACCAGCGTTAACACAGTTTATACTCGTATGTTTGCTGGAGTCTACATAGTTTAAGCTCTTAAGGTATTGGAACGTGGCGATCCTAAATTTTAGGCTGCAAGACTAACTATTAAAGTTGTTTCGTCTGCAGATATGGATCTTATCCCGAAGTCGTTGGATGCTCAAGTCACGAGACCAACTAATGAAGCTGATACGTCAATGACTCACATTTATAGAATTTTTGGCGAATTCTCAGCCATCAACTGGTTTGATTAGCCTTTACTGACTACCGTTTGAGTCGGGCTAGCGTGCAGATTGTTTAGACCCGTTCTGCACGTAACGTTGTGCTAAAAGAGTTAACTCTTTTAGTGCTACGATATTGAATACGTAGACTTCGTCTTTTTCACGGGAATAGACTACCCGACAACGCGTGTTAGACGCTAACTTAGAATTTTTGGCAAATCCTCAGCCTTCAACGGATTTGACGTACCTTTACCGATTACCGTTTGAATCGGGCTTGCATGCGGATTGTTTAAGTCCGTTCCACATGTAACGTTATGCTAAAAGAGTTAACTCTTTTAGTGCTACGATATTGAATACGTAGACGAGTTAACTCTTTTAGTGCTACGATATTGAATACGTAGACTTCGTCTTTCTCACGGAAATAGACTACCCAGCAATGCGTGTTAGGCGCTGACTTATCCCTACTTAGGCTTCGGGATAAAAGTCCCCAGACTCGGATTCTAGTGTCTTCTTCAAACGGTGAAAGACTAAACCAGCAACGCGTGTTAGACGTTGACTTATCCCTTCTTAGGATTCGGGATAAAATTTCCCGTGCGTGTGAGGCACGGATTTTGGTGTTATAAATAACAACCTACCACAATATCGAATATGTAGGCTTTTGTCCTTTTTACGGTAAAAGACTGACCGGCAACGCGTGTTAGGTGTTGACTTATCCCTACTTAGGATTCAGGATAAAATTCCCGGTGCGTGTGAGGCACGGATTTTAGTGTTATTAATCACAACCTATCACAATATCGAATATGTGGGTTTTTGTTATTTTTACGGTAAAAGACTGACCGGTAACGCGTGTTAGGCGTTGACTTATCCCTACTTAGGATTCGGGATAAAATTCCACATGCATAAAAGACATGGATTTTTATTTACGATACTGAATACGTAGACTCGGTCGTTTTTACAGGAACGAACCACCCAGCAACGCGGGTTAAGTGCTGACTTATCCCTACTTAGGCTTCGGAATAAAATTCCCCATGCGTGTGAGGCATGGATTTTGAGAGTTTAAAAAAATGGTGTCTTCTTCTAGGGCAAAGACGAACCCGATGCGGGAGAGGAAGAATTTTATATTCTTTCTCCCAAAGCTGAAGAGGAAGAATTTTATATTCTATCTACAGTTGCAAAAGGAAACTCAAAGTGTGATTTCCACTTCAAGAATCCGGGCAGGTGAAACTAAGAGTGGGATCTCCACTCCGAGAATCGAAAAGATTCGGATAACCCTAACTGTCGGAAGGTTTGATTACCGAACTAAAGATGAATTTCTCGTTTATCGAGAGTGAATTGTGGTTTTGACCCTAACTGTAGGAAGGTTTGATCATTCAATTTGAAAGCAGACCTCTCGTTCATTGGAGGAATCGAGGGGGGATTTTAGTTTTGGCCCTAACTATAGAAAGGTTTGACCGAGTGGGAAGTTTGAGACGATCCTAACTGTAGGAAGGTTTGATCACTCGATCTGAAAACGTACCTCTCGTTCGTTGAAGGAATCGAGAGGGGATTTTGACTGTGGTCCTAACTGTAGGAATGTTTGACCAAGTGAGAGTGGGAGTGTAAGATGACCCTAACTTTTATAGGTTTGATCACTCGATTTGTGGACCTCTCGTTCATTAAAGAAATCGAGAGGGGATTTTGATTATGGTCCTAACTGTAGGAAGGTTTGACCAAGTGAATAGTGGGAGTGGGAGTACAAATCACAGTGGGAGTGTTGACTTGTACAAATCACTCAGTAGGGGTTCTTGGTGTTAAGTGATAAGGATTTAACACGAAGGGGTTTGATAATTCGTCAAGGATTGACAGATCAAAATTCTAAGCATTATATCTAGACTCTAACCATGAAAGTGTTGAGTGCACGAACATAGCGGAAGTTTGAATCACTACAACAAAGCTGTTTTTTTATAGCGTTTAATGATAGCGTTTATGTTGTAAGTGCTATAGATTGTATGTGCCTTATTTTTTGATAGCGTTTAAAAATTTTAAACGCTATAAGTAGTTGATCGTACTTTTTTTTATTCTGACGCGTTAAAAAGTTAAGCGGGAGACTGAAAATTAAAACAGGCCCAAAATTTTAATACCCCCCAATTATTTCGATCCCTCTCCTATCAAATCCCTGATCCTTTTCCTCTCGTCGAAATCTCAAACCCTAGTTTTTCCCCCTTTTTTCTTTTTTTGGGAATCAGGGAGAAGTGCTGAGCGGTCTGAACGATCTCGTGATGATGAACCCTAGGCGATTGACTCTAGGCGACCGCGCCGCTGTGTACCCCTGCGCTCCGCTGGATCTCGAGGTGGTGAAGGGCGACATCAGATCCATGGAATAGGATGAGTGCCCCATCGGATCGATCCTGGCTATCAGATCCGCCGTGGCCGTGTCGTCGGATCTCTGCAAAGCTCCCTACCTGTTTGATCTCTCAACGACCCTATCGATTCCTTTCTCTCAAATGGGTAATTCTTCTTTCTTTCAATTTTAATCCATTCCCTTTCTAATTCTTAATGATTATAGAATGGACCCATCAATTATTTTGATGTCTTCAGTCAGTTTTCCTCTAAAAATATTTTCTTGTCAAGTTGATTTTGTGATTTTACAAGAATTAATTATTTGGTTTTAATTGGTTCTCTATGTTGTTGATTCATTTTGGGGATTTTTAATATGGGCATTAGGGTGTCTTTTTTGTTGATTGATAATTAAATTTCTTTCCATTTTCTGGGTTTAATTTTACAGAGACAGATTTGATGAGTTCTCATTAGGACAATGACGATGAGTACGAAATATTCAATCAGAGAATGAACCCACCAAGGTTTGCATCTTTTGGTTTTTTTGGTCTATTCTTTTATTCATTTACTTTCAATCTTCTAATTTCTTTAATTTGTTCCATGTTAGGGTTGTAATTGATAATGAATCATGTGCTAATGCAACAGTTGTTAGAGTAAGTTATCAGGTTGATTGTTGCTCGCATGGGGCTGAAAAACTGGATTTAAGTTAAAACGTTGAGCAAATTGATCCAGTAACTCTTAAGCAACTCCTAAGGGGTTGCCTATTGATTCCATCAATTGTATTCTATGATCAAGCTTATTTATATTTGCAGTTGCTATTTCTTCAAACATCTACCTGTTACTCTATGCTTCTATCTTTCAAGTTGAAACATATTTAGCTGATAAGGATGAGGTTTAAATCTGGAGCCTCGAAACTTTTCATCGTGCACTTTCAACTCGGCAAGGCTACATGAAAGGCATAGTCGAACAAGCTTCTAATAGAAAATATTGGGACATATAGAACCAACAGAAGTTGAATCTTGAAATTGAAGCGAAACGCCAGAATATTTTAAATGCAAATCAGGTTAAGCATGTACCTTTCAATCATGTTGGATTTTAATAATTCAATTTATAATTCTGAACTCGGTGAATGTGCATTTTTCATGCAGAATTTGACAAATCAGATCATTGAACTGGAGAGACATTTCCACACTCTTGAGATAAATAGATTTGGTGGAAGTGGTAGAACTTCATTAGGTCATACAACTTTCCAGAGTGGTTCTCTGCCTGTAAGGTATGATACAAATGGAAATGCAGATTCGCTATGTGATATATTTTTAAAGCCTATAGTGTTTTCTTTACTAGACAAACTGGTGTTGTATTGTTTGTTTGATGAAAATGTTTATATAGCAATTTCCTAATTTTAGCATAGCTAATTAAATCTGCCATAGTTTATTTCTAATTATCGTGACATGTGAGGCTGACATCAGATCCCAAAGAGTATTACTTAAGTGTGACTATCTAATATCTACTTGCAGGCAAAAAACAATCTTTTCAGAGTGTCTATAACACACTAAACTCACAATTAGCAGCAGTCGAGCATCTTTCTGAATGCATATCTCAACAGATGTCTGAGTTAAATTTAAACTCAGTTCCTGTAAAGCGGCAGAGCATAACAAAAGAGCTTTTTGAGTCGATTGGTCTTTCTGATGAAAACATGTCATTTGAATCACCAGTTTGCAAAAGATCCAGCCTTACTCTGTATTCTACGAGGAGAACACCTCTATCCGTGACCGGTGCTATTAGGGACCATCTGAGTAAAAAGACATTAAGTGTAGCAAAGGCTTTTGAGCCAGAAACTGCAAGGAGGAGAAGGGACTCACTGGATAAAGTAATATTTTCTCCTTAAGTTTATTCTACAATTTAAGTTTTCATAGTGCATAACATATTTTGATCTCTATATGTGTTACTTGTGTTCCATTCATAGTATTGTAAGTAGTTTCTTTTTGCTTCTATTTGTTACACTTCAATACATTCTTAGACATATGCACGCAATATAGGCAACAATCTGACTGATGAAAATTAATCTTCTTAATGTTTTGAACTCTAAACATATAGACTATTGCCCTAAGTGAATTAAACTCAAAGCCAGGAATTTATTGATTGAATACAAGTGGAATGAAAGTATTAATGAAGTCTTCTAGCATTTGCAGGTTGCTTGCTCTAAGCTATCAACTATCTCTGCCCACATAAGCTAAAGATGACCCAAATAGGAATGAAGTCTTCTAGTATTTACTAGGTTCCAAAAATTGTAGTCCCAATATTTCATTGTTCTTTTCAGGATGATACATATATATTTGATTCCCATGATTTATATTGGTAGATGTTGATGATTTTTTCCCCTATGTTTAAAGGGGCGATTTACCCTTCCAGTTAAATTCTAATAATGAAACCTTCTTATCCATTTTCCAAATGTAGAGTTGTTCTTTTGCATGCATCTTATCCATTTTCCAGAGAAGCATCATATCTTGCTTTTGTGTACCCCCAGGTCTGTTCTTTCACAAATCAATTTGTCATAAACTTTATGTGCTCAATGATTATTGGTTTTGTTAATTTTTGTTTTTGCAGCAGTACTAGTACTCAATTGCTGAAGATGATGAGTCTCCCAAGTCATATGTAATGCATCAAAGTTAGTTTTTGTTATTCTGTGTACTATGGTTAATTTCTTGTACTCCATGTTGGATTATCCAAAGGCTAGTATTTGTTTTTTTGGCACATTTGTGTTGACTCTTCTTGTATGCTACAACTTGGTTATGTATCAGTTTGAACCTTTAAATAAAATATTTGCTTTTATGATTGTCATAATTGGAAGCTATTTCTAGTTCAACCTCAAAGGTTTATAGACACAACTGAATGATATAAGAAGTGGAAACAATTGTTGAAATGCTATTAAAAGAAGAAAGACAGCATTCGCTAAAACGCCATTATAGTAACTCAAACGCTATCAAATGTAAGGCAATAGCAGCGTTGAAATGCTATGAATGAAAACTAACTAATAGCATTTTTCAACCGCTATGAAAGATATTCGTCATGCAATACAAAAATGCTATTGAATACCATTTTATAGCTACATAAAAACGCTATGGTTGGAACCTTTTTGATAGCGTTTGGGAAAGCGCTATGTAAAGCCACAGACCTACTATAGCGGGTTCTGACACAGCGCTGGTTAAAACGCTATGAAATAATACCATAGCATTTTTCGACCGCTATAGATGATTTCAGGTGGTGTAGTGAATGGATTAAACAGGAAAGAATTTTGGTGGTTCCACCATCAATTAGTCTGATCGGTGGGGGATTTTGTGGTGGGAGACTGTGAGTCGTCAAACACCAATGAGAGTTTTAGTCTGATCGGTGGGGGATTTTGTGGTGGGAGACTGTGAGTCGTCAAACACCAATGAGAGTTTTGTGAGAAAAAATTGATCCAATGAAGTGATCGAATCTCATCTCAGCAAAAGAGTGTTCGGAAATCATAGTAGGAGTTTAGTGTTTATCACTTTGTTCATAGATCGGGTTATCTCTAAGAATATTACATTTAACATTCTTCCTAGAACTTCCCGTTACATGAATTATCCACGCCCAGCTTTCTTTGCAAAACTGGGTGTAACGAGGAGTACGTTATCCTCAGTCGCATGTTCGGGTTATCCTTAAGAATATAAGATTCTCTAGGAACTTCCCGTTACATAAATCATTCACCCCCAGCTTCCTTTGCGAAACCGGGTTTAACATTGTACTTAGTTGGATGACCAAGAAGCAGTTTATACTCGTATACTCTTTGGAGTGTGAGAAGGAGCAGTTTATACTCTTATACTTGTCGGAGTCTTCATTCGACTTAATTGAGCGATATAACGTCGGCTTCAACCAAGGTTTGGATGCTATTCTTGAGAGCAAAGCAATCTTTGGTGGGATGAAGGACCCTCCTGTGGTACACACAGTACTTTGGATCCGTAGTATTGTCAGCTTCCTCCTGATTTGCGATAGGTGGTAGCTTGATCTTGTTGTTTTCAAGGAGGGACTCGAAAATGGTCGGAACATCTTCGTCCTTGAAGGAGTACTCTTTTTGGAACCTCGGGTCCGAAGTCTTTTGCTGCCTTCGGGATTGCTGTTGTGACGTTTGATTAGCACCAATAGCAGCTGTAGGTGCCTTGCCCTTACCACGGGAGGCGAAGTTCGAGTTCGGAGGATTAGCCGTCGGTTGGCTCCTCTCGGCCTTCTTCCTTCGGAGGAAGTGTTCGGCTTGTTCACCGCGCACCTTCAAGTCTTTCCAAGTGTTGGACGGTGCGACTCCCATAACTTCTAATATCTCAATAGATAGGTTGTTATGACATGTCTGGAGGATGAAGTCGTCCGTGATTGGATCTCAGCAGTTCATTGCTTTATTCCGGAAGCGCTTGACGAAGTCGTCGATTGTCTCGTCATCTTCTTTTTTCTCATCGAAAAGTGTCCTGATGGATACCTCGTTGTCGTCGTCAAAGAAATTACCGACGAATGAGATCTCCATATCGTCCCAGTTGTTAATACTTCCGGGCTTGAGACAGCGGTACCAATCGAAGGCCGACCCGCGAAGGGTACCAACGAATGACCGAACCATCAAGGCTTCATTGCCGGAGATCATGCCCAAGTGGGACTTAAAGTAGATCAGGTGTTGAGTGGGCGAACCCTTCCCGTCAAACGGCATGAAGTTAATCAAGTTGAACTTCGTCGGGTATGCTATTGAATCCCACTCTCTTGGATAGGGACATGGAATGCCGGTCCTTTTCACCTCTCGAGCAGACATCAGAGCGTTGATTTTGCTCTCGAGATCTTTCATTTTCTCATCCTCGCTCGTATCGGGCTTTGAACGATTCTTAAGAGGAACAATGGGGCCACCCCCAGTGTTGTCGTTTTCGGTGGGACCACCCCCAGCGTTCTGGTCGATGGGAGGGTTATCATCATTAAGGCGTTTATCCAAATCTGAATCGCTACCTGCTTGGTTAGCAGTATTGCGATGGCTGGATTCACCAATTTGATTGGACAAAATTCGGATTTGTTGGTCGTGTTCTTCCCTCATCCGTTGCATAGCCATTTCCATTTCGAACTTGAAGTTCTCTTTTTGCTTGGCCAAGGCATCCTCAACTATTTTGGCTACTTCCTCGGTGTTAATCATAAACACTTCTCGGGATTCCCCTGGGCTGGATACCGTTTTGTCAGAAGCGACTGCAGAGTTGGCATCTGATGCTTCGTTATCCGAGGATAATCCCCTCTGCATTCGCTGATAATCTCTTTGTCTAATGGTTCCCGATCGCAACCGGGTTAGACGATGAGATATGAGTGGATCAGAACTAGAAGGTCGAGTCGACTTTCCCCTCCCAGACATATTAACTGTGACTGCGGATTGTTCAGGTCCGACCGCTTTCAGCTGGAGTCGAGACATCAGTCGAGCTATTCCCGAATTAATTCTTCTTCCTGGAGAAAAATTAGGGCTAGAACCACTTTTGGACTCACATTTTTCTGAGGGTGAAACTGGAGTTTTTCTTTTATGAGAAGGCTCGAAATTGTTGCGAGGGCGTGTGCGATCCCCAGCTCGACGAGTCGCTCGGGGTTCAATCACCGGACCCAAGCATTCTTCGATCAGAACTTTGCCTCGATCCTCGTGCAAAGGACCCAGGCGATCAACCATCCTCATTTTGAATCGGGACAAATCCACGCTATCGCGGGGCTCCACTGGAGGTGCGAAACTCAAAGGGATCGACGAAACCGGTGCAGAACATCTTCTGTCTTAACCCTGACGAGGGTCAGACTTAGGCGACCCGCGGGTTGGAGGGTCGGATTTGGGTGACCCGCAAAGTGAAGGGTCGGATTTAAGTGATCCGCAAAGTGGAGGGTCGGATCCAAGTGACCCGCGATTTGGAGGGTCAGATCCAAGTGACCCGCGATTTGGAGGGTCGGATTTGAGTGATCCGCTTTTCTCGATCTTTTCGGCCGCCGTCTTGGACTTTGGCCTCCAAACTTGGTACAGTTTTTGTGGCTTCTTCTCCACTTCTTCCCTCTGCAACCTTTTGGCCTCTTGCACAAGAATTCGCGCGTGCGCAAGCAGTACGCGGTGCTTTTTGATCCGCTCTTCAAGAGTTGAACGGGTCTTTTTGACTTGTACCCATTCACTTGTTGGTAATTTGGAGGAGAGGGCATTTGTCCGCTGTTGGGGCGCTTGGCGTTGCCTAATTTTCAGATCCGCCTCGTAACGAATCCCGTCAATTGACTCCAAAGCCCTAACGAGTTAGCGCGCAAAGTGTTAGCGCTGCCTTTGGCGAGCTCTCTTCGATAAAGTGGGCGCGCCTTCTGTACTCAACTCCTTGATTGAGGAGGAGTTCAGATCTGTAGATCCGGACTCGTTGGAGGCCGCAAGGGCGTTGCAAGGTTCAGCTACCGCAGCAACGAGGGCGTTGATCTTCCTGCGCTTGCGAGAAGCGGAGGATCTGGAGGAGGAGGATGAGAGGTATTCTTCGTACTTCTGTTGGTCGAACTCGTATTCGACCACCTCTTTAACCGGGATCTTAATCATCGGTTGCGACACGACGGCCTATGCAGCGAGACCGTTGACTCCCACTTTGGTCGCTAGTTTGTTTTCGTCAAAAATCGTTTTCTTTATTATATAACTCATTACAACTTCGATCGTTATAATAAGTTCAAAAAGATCAGTCTTTTTATAAGACCTTTACACAATGAAAATAAAAGAAACAATTCTCGTTCAAACAAAACGTAGAGGACGTTTATCACCCGCTGCTTTGCGTGGGATCTTTGCCTGTGCCGGGGTTTATCCGTGGACGACCGTCGATCAGATCCGGTTGTTAAAAAATTGGTAGAGCTCCGCCTTCACCGAGGAAGTATTTGATTTGAAGCGCTGAGATCGACCAAGCAAAATCAGTAGCTCTTCTCGAGATCAAGACCAAGCCTGATCTCAAGAAATTGGGGAAACGGGCGTCGGATCTCTCGAACTCTCCTTCTTTATGCCGAAGAACTCACCAAGATTTGTCAACCCTCGCTGAAATTCGTGCTCTTTTGACTCCTCAATCCGGCAGCACCTCCTCCTCTTGACAATTAATCCCCCCCTCTGAAATGAGCCCCTAGGCCTGTATTTATAGGCTTCGGTTGGGGAGTTTTCGGATAAGAACGGATGATTCCTCCTTATCTTCAGTTAATAACTGATTAACTATGTTTGGGGATGATATCAAATCAGTTAGGATGCTTAGGAACCAACAAATCCCGAGAAAAACCGATCGAAAATAGTGAAAACGCGTCCAAAGGTCGAAACTGCGAGCAGGGCGAATCTGACCCGCGCTTGCGCGGGTCGGATGGATTCGACGAGCGCCTCGGTTGTGTCCGACCCGCGCCGGCGCGGGTCGGTTGAGTCCGACCCGTGTCGTTGCGGGTCGGATCATTCCGACCCGCACGGGCGCGGGTCGGTTTGGTCCGTCCCACGCGGCACGCTGGGATTTTTGGCTTCGCTGATTTCTTGTGTTTTCCGGCTCTTCCGGGACTTGTATTTTCCACCGTTTTACGTATTTAATCATCTTGTTGTTGGCCTTCTTGTTTTGATGATGTTTAACAAACAATTTATTACTAATGTTGTTTGTCTAGTGTTGGTGCATTCCTATGTTTTGTAGACAAACAACGTTGTTGGAGGATGGATGGAATAAAGCTTCAACGATCATATCCAAAGGAGGTTGGCGGAATGTCGGTGAAGCCTTGCTATTCAAAGTTCAAGATCCAAGTTAAAGCTTCATCCGCAAGATTACCAAGATAGAGCTTCGTTGAAGATCAAGATT